CCGTGATGCGGGTGGTAGTAAAGCCCACCGTGGGGTGGAGGGGAGCCGGAGGCCCGAAGTACCCCCACAGTCGCCTGGCGACGGCGTTGTGTGCGTGCTCGGCGCACAAAAACTGCGTCGGGGTCTCAATCAAGACCCGCGCCAGGTCCACCGAGGGCTCCACCTTGCTGGTGCAGCTCCGCTGTTGGCCGTCCTTGAAGGACTGGTTTTCCTTCAGCACCAAGGTGTAGTGCGTGGCGTGGTTGTAGCAGCGCAGCCGAAGAAAGCACCGCTGCTGGTGGAGTTCCCGATTGGGGCCATCAAAGAAGTAGTCCTCCTGGGACTCGGTGAGGTCGGAAGTGGATAACGGGCAGGCGGGGTCCGCCCTCGGGGCCATCGCGTTGGGCAAAAGCTCGTGCGAGGTTCGCCGCCGCTTTCGGGGGCCGTCCATCCCAAGGCCCTCGATGGGATCGACAGCGGAGGTGCGGTCCCCTGGGGTTGACATCATGATGGCCTCCAAATTCTTCCGAACCTCCTCGTAACCGCTGAGACTGCTCAGACGCAGCTTGACATCTTGGACGTTCTGGGACTGCACATACTCATTCCGCATCCCACGTATGAAACGAGCATACTTTCCTTCAGAACCGAGGCGATACTTGACTTGTAATTTCTCAAGCAGCGTCTTCAGATCGGTCAGGATTTCGTCCTCTCGCGGTGTGTCGATCTGTGAGACTTCAAGTTCGTACTTCTCGCCAAAGGGATAGAGCGTCTTGTCAATTTGAATGCATAAATGATCGCGCCACGACTCCGCCTTTGTGCAAGTGGACGCACAGGTCGACGTACCGTTGCCAACCACATGTTCATCAGTGCAGGAATGGTCTTCAGAGCTGGAAATATCCTGCAGATAGCGATAAGTTTTCCGGGTGGAGATGTAGTGTCCCATATGAACTAATCCATATGGGACAGAGTCTGATGCTCGCGTTTCGACCGACAGGCTAAGTTGGTGGTGCGTTCCCGCCGCATGACGAACCTGGCTATAATGGCAATTATCATCATAATCCACATTACTTTTTTCAACTTGTGAAGACGAATTTTTTTGTATTTGATTGAATATATAACGTAGCCGCTCCACAATCAGTAGGATAGGCACTTTGGGGGGGTCCGAACTACTACTATTTTGCGAGGCTCCAGAATGCTCCTGCAGTAATTCGTGCTGACGCCGCGCGGCGTATCGTTCGAGAACATGAAACAGTGGCGTCGCATGGTCCTCATTCTCGCTCTGGTAAACCAAATCCCTCACCACATCCGGGGGCACACTAGTATCCTCTAGAATGAAGTTTAACTGACAGCCATCCGTGACGGTGTTGTTTTGCTTAAACACCAGCTTTCCGCATTCCCCTGGGATCAACCCCGTTGCCCCCTCGTCGGTGGAATCAAGATGGAGTCCTAACGCCGCGATCAGGATGGAATCGTCATGGGCGTCTTTCTTCGATGTCTCGCAGACGGTATTTACACCCACCGATCCCACCCCACACGCTGCCGCGCGTTGCTGTTCCTGTATCTGCATTCGCTGTCGAATGGGATTCGGGCCTTGACAAGAGGTTAAAAAGTACTCGTAGGAACTATCCCCCGTCATGGTAATGAGCCCCGGCGTGGAATTTTCCCCCACCCCTTCATAGGGATAGTGTGAAAAGTTCTCCCCGCACAAAGTGGGAGAAGAGCTTGAATGGGGCTTTTTGATAGGCACGCGAAGACGCACCACGGAATCCGTCTTCGTTAGCGCTTCATTTTTAAAATCGAAGAAGTAATCACAATAGGTATCCTCTTTCACAAAAAGCGGCGTAAGGGCTTTAGTAAGGATGTGGTAGTCGCTTGTATCCACCAGTAGCATTTTGATTTCAACTTGCATTTTTACCGGAGTTCGATATTAAAAAGACAGTTTGGGATTAGGGTGTAAAAAAAAATCGATCAAAATTAATGTTTCCTTTTACCGACCTCTGCCTCCTTCTCCTTCATAAAGAGTAGATGAATATAGAGAAAAATTAGCGAAGGAAAAGTCAACAGTACTGATTAAAAAAACATGAAAAACGAAGGAAATGAGAAAGGATGTGGAAAATATAAAAAGTACGTCTGAAAGCATAAGTGACTTCAAATAACTTCCTCATCACTTTCAAAAAAAATCTCCTGAACTAGATTTACCTACTCTGGTTAAATATTTTGACGTAGACATCTAAATGGATAATCATTTTTGAAAAAAACATCCACAAACGCCAAGCATGAGAAAGGGTTTTCCGGTATTTTCAACTGATGCTTTATTTTTATATTCGCTTTCAATGTAAAAGTGACTGTAAAATAGAAAATCTATAAAGGGTATGGCTACACTTTAAAGAAAAACACCAAAAACGTAATTCGTGATTTACATCACCTTCATCGGCTAACACGAACACCCACTGGAGCTATTCGTTGTGATAGATATCGTCTGGAACCTCAACCATGAGCAATGTATCATTACTGTAGTCAATGCGTACCAATGAGGCGACGGCCATATAGCATGCCATCACCAATAAAAACATTGAAACGACACCAATCAAGTAGTTTTGGTTCTTCGCGGAAAGCCCTTCGGTGGCCTTCGGGGCCACATAAACTGTTTTGCCGGCTTGGGCCGGCTCAGTACCTAAAAGTAGTGTAACCAATGCTAAAAGGGTAACTAGAAAATTAGCACTTCGGGTCATGGTGCCAAAAATGTAAGTCGGCTTTCACTTTAATTCGTGTCAAAGGATTTCTCTAAAGAGTGTGCAATAAAACGTGCCAATGGGTATAAAAAATGGTGAAGAGAAATACCGCGCCCAAATGGGGATTAAGAATAAACTGGTAGACATATGTAATGAGAGGAAAAAGAAAGGGAGGTCTGTAATAACGGTTAAAGTAATTATAAACTAGTGCAATTAAAAATGGTGATTAACGTCGCCTAAGAAATCGGAGGAGATGTTAATGATAAAATAATTTTCCTATCACAAAATCTGATCATGGAAATTTTTGAATTACGATCAAAAATGGTTCTGAAAAGCACTTTAATAACTATCTTTCCTGATACTAGGGGATGATGAATATCCAGTCAGTAATAATAACTTATAATGGTAACAAAAATAATGCATATCTCTTATATGATAAAGAGATCGATAAAATCATAAACAGAATACTTGTTGTGGCAAGAATCACAAACAAGACATAAAACAGATGTGTATAATAAAGAGGTAAACCCTTTTCCTGAATCAATGAGAAAAAAAACTAAAAGAGCCTTAAAATACCCATATTGCTAATCAAAACAAAGCACTTTTCACCTCTTTCCCATCTCAAGAGGCACGCTCATGCCATGGTACCGTCTTATCATCGCTGATTTATTTGTAAAACGCACACATACACACAAAAAGCACTATATTTTCAGATTTTTATTGATTAAAAAATTACATTCCTTTTTCTGAGCGTACTACCCACTCCTTAACTTTAAGAAAAGCGTATGAATTTGGAGAAATCCCTTTTCAAGCGGCAAAATTAATCTTGTTGCTGCATTATTATATCCATGCGTTGATACTCAAATGTTTTTTTCTTAAGGTGTATCTCCAAGAAGGTCATCATGTGATCTTCACAATATGCGAAATCAAATATGAACATTTAGATGTGTATATACCCCCAAAAACTATGTAGAAATAAATTAAAAGCATCGGTGCCATAGCGTCAGTGAACTAGGATATGAAAGTAAGACAACATTAATTTCTATGACTGTATGTAATGTGACAGGTACCTGTCGTTTACAGAAACACTACTATTAATTTCGCACACGCTGATTTAACCCTTGTGCACACCTATGTTCAAATCTCACTAAAAAAAAATATAAAATGAAATAGCTGAAAATGATTTCCGTTCTTCCCCTTTTGGATAAAGAACTATATGCACACCTATCACAATTTAATTTTACTTAATCACTTTTTTATTCGATATTTTTTGTAAAAAAAAACGAATCTCAGTTCCTTTTATCCTTGCTCGTGCCCACTGCAACCTTGACTACAGTTCTGTAATCAGGTTTTTCGGATACGGCATCTGATTGAAATGATTTAAGCACTGGAAATATGGCTCCATTGTGATTGTTAGAAACCATATCATTAGGCATAGCTTCCCCTTCACTGAAGGACTCAAAATTCTGACGAGTCAAATTCAACTTGTTGCACACGTTGATGCTAGAATTTTTTGAATTACCTAAATAGGGCTGTGGAGACACGTTTGAGGCCCCCTGCATGAGCTGCAGCTGGAGCTTTAGACCACAACACCCACTACTGCTCAAAGGAAACCCATAGTCTAAGCTTTTAAGTAAGGCCTTCATATCCCGATGTGCAGCTGCAATAATATTTTGCAGATTCCCCTGAAGCAGGATCTCTGTATTGATTCTAGGTGTAGTATCACTGCTCTGGTTGCAACTGTCCTTGTCGTTTTCAACGCTCGCGTTCGATGAATTTGCGCCGTTCCCTTCACATTTTTGCATTGATAACACCTTTTCATCTTTGTCATCTTTGTATTCTTTCTGTAAAGATCTCAGGCTCGCAAGCGGAACCATCGAATCATACTGCTCGTAGCATAAGTGCAGCACATTGAGCAGCCACCGAAACGAAGAGTAAGCTATCGGATAAGCATTCCGATGTTCATCCTTCAGGTGACTAGAATTATCCACCTTTCCAATCCACTTACCGGATATAGAATCGTTTTCTATTTTTTCATCTCTGTTTGTCTGATCATCCTCAGGATCCATTTTCCCCTGCATCGGAGACGATGCCTTAGTAAAGTCCTCCTCAAGTTGCTGCAAGACCAATTGCAATTCTATAAACTTAGGGTACAGCTCCTGTGCAATAGTTCCTTCATCGTTGACTATAACGTCCTCATCCTCCATCGTTGGCAGGGAACAATTCACGTCGCACCCTCGGGCTGGTTTATCGGCCTCGACATACCGAGTACCCTCCTCACAGGAAACGGCTTCGCCACCGGCCTGTGGTATCGCGAGGGCGGCAATCCCCCCTTCCTCCGCTTCGCTCAACGACCGAGTGGAACGACGTAGCCCTGCCAACTCACCTGTAAGCCGATCTATAATACCCAAAAGCAACGTTATATCACTGAGATAGGCCTTCATCACCTCCGCTTTCTCGGTTGCCACGGCCACAGCCTTGGCGCGATAGAAATCAAAGCCCTCCTGTAGCGCCTGTTGCTCACGGCAGACACGCGCCAGGTTCTCAACTAGATCCGACCGCGAGCGGCTCAACTTACGGAATTCCTCGTAGAGGTGCTTGTAACGTGCCTCAGCTTGTTGGATTTGGCTATTCCAAGGCGCCGGCGGGGCCGTATCGTTTGGAGTAGAATACGGCCCCCCACCGCTATGTGAGGAAGGGGTGATATTCCCATGCATCGAGGATTGCGACTGGGGCTGGGGCGTGGGCACCACCTCGGCGGCAGCTCCATAGCCATGCGGCTGCCCCCCGTCGTAGCCGTAGTAGAACCCATTCGTATTCACCCCCCCGCCGACAAGATTATTATAATAGCTTGGTGGAGGCTGTGGTGGATACGATGTGGAGGTTATACTGCTGTTGGAGGGCAAGCCATACGTACTAGTCGGAAAGGCGGGATCCAAGGCGATCCCTTCCGTCCCACCTGGACTACCGCCGGATGCCGCGATGGCAAACCCATCCACCGCGCCGTTGGGTGGGTTTGGGACCGACGCGGCGGGGCACCCCGCGTTGTTGGCCCGCAGCCCCCTTTCGGTCAACGGGGAAATGGGTACAGACCAGCAGGAGTGGTAGCTCCCGACCCCGAAGCTGCTGGTCGTGTGGTGGTGGTATTGCGGACGGGAGTGGGACGGAACTAAAGGGGTGTTGACGTCCCCGTTCGTGGGGGTCAGGCCAACGGCGATGGTGGGGTGGGGGTTGGTGATTTTGGGCGGGGGCGGGGGGGCACGAGGTTTGGGCTGGGAAGTCGTTGGGATGCTGGGCTCGGGGTGTGTGTCGAACTTTTCGACACACACACAGGACTTCTTTTTGGGATACATACTTAATGAAGGTAGTGTTTTAGACACGTTGAGTTTAACCTACTGTATATGTTTGTATGCCGTTATAAACATACATATATATATATACATATATATAAATGGATGAATAGATGAATGTGTATAGATATTCAATTAAGACACAATGACAATTAGTAGAGTAAATATTGTGATAGTATCACCTTTTTAAATGATGTATTAAGCGAAAGGTAAGTGGTAAGCTAATATCTAAGCTGATAAAGTGCATAATATGGAAAATAGAATCGAAGAGAGAAAAAATCAAAACAAATATATTTTTACAGTAACATTAAATTCTGAATCTATACGTGTCTGATTTTCTCATTTAAAATATAATTTTAATCTATTTTCTATCAAAACTCTTCTTATTTGGAGAAAATGGAATAGAAACTGAATGGTAACACGACCACAGAATCCTTCATAAACAAAAAAAACAGAAAAACAAGTAAATGAAAACGAAATTCCAGAAGGTGCACCCATAAGTACAGCAATACAGAAAGTGGTAACTCAGAAGAAACGATTCAAGCACATGAAGCTCGTATCAATCCTCCGAAGGTGTCTTTTCAGGTCGAATGAATAGAAGAAAACAATACCCACTTCCTTGATTATTAAAAATTTAATCAGAGTGCACAGTAATAGATAAATTATCTCAGTAAAATCATCCTGTTAAAGAATAACAATAATAATACAGGAATTAAAAGGTTAGTCCTTACAATAACACTTACATTCCTCATAATTCGTTTAGCTTTTGGATGGCAGCAACAACACGAGTCGCCAAAATAGCTCCATTGGAATTCCCCTCCTTCCATCTCCAATATTCTCGTCTCGCATTCTCTAACTCCAATCGCAAGGAATTAGAATCCACATCTTGACTATCATATCCTTCTGAGCCTAGTAACCGTTGGGCATTGTCGTCCTCAAGCTTACCAGGTTCCACCGGACTTTTTCCTGGTTCTTCATGAAGAGCTTCATGCTTTGAAGTCTGCACCGTCGCGACTGCGGATTGAAAAGGGATCTCTCTCAATCTAGACTCCAGTGCGCTGCTATTATGATCATAAAGGACGTCAATGTGCGCATAAAACGAATCCTGTTGCCCATCACCCACCGGTAAGGTGGTGCAAACCCCTGTGGTAGCTCGACCTGTCGGAGTAGCCTCATGGATATCACTTTTCAGAATCCGATCCGCCGCACCTGAAGCTAGGGTGTACAGGGGGTCAAGTGTCACAGGATTTTCAATCGTAGTGACAGCCACCTCCGTGTACGAGTTTTCCTGATACAGAGTGTGTGATCTGAGTAATGCGTCATCAGCTAGGGGGGGTCCTGGGAGATGTTTCTGAACGTCCTCGGTTAGACACAAATAGGCAGCCTTCACATTAGACCATAATGTAGATTCAACCAATGTAGGAGAAGTTTGCTCGACCTCCTGCATTTTGTCTTCTTTAATATCTGGAAGTGCTGTTGGTGTTTTTGGTGCCACGATATGCGTGTTTGTAGAGGTGTGCGCCTCCTGCACTAAGATGTCTTTTTTTTGATCTATATTCACCTCTTGTCTATGTCTATGGGCATCCTCTTCCAACATATGGAAAGTAACAAGATCGCTTTTCGCAATAAAATCAAACGCCATCCTCAATGTTTCCTCCAGTGTCTGGGCTGTCTCTTCCTCATTCATGAGATGTGTATTCAGCGACATCGCAGAACATAGTTTTATTCCTTCTAGTTTAATACGCAGCTCAGGGAGAGGAGGAACGATTGCTATGGGTCGCCGCAAATACGAAAAAGCTTGTGCAAGGCTTTCCACACGCCTCCCTTTTTCTATCCAAAAGGTTCTTCGCACGATTTCAGATTGAGACCCGTTCCAGTCATAGTCCTTCAATTCTGTGTTGCTGGAAGACACTTCCAACCGCCCCTTCCTATCAGCCTCAGCAAACCCATCGGTAACGTGTCGCATAGTAGCGGGGTGAATAAGTGGGCGGTCGAAGATGTTCACATTCGCCTTCACTCCTACACAGCCCATCAACTCCTCCAACCTCGGTGCCATTATATTTAAGGTCGAAGTGAGCATGTGGGAACACCGTAAATAACCAGGCGGAGTGTTTACATGTAGAGCCACGTGGCAATAGTGCGAGTCCTGGGCATCAAAAGCAATGCAGGCCGCACGAAGGGTAACATTGACGCAGCCTTCCATCAACACGTACTTGGCGCCGCACACGAGAATGTTCAAGGGGCCCGTGCAATTACGAATGTAAAGATTCCCTATTGTCTCAAGAAGATGCACCTCCCCCATAGCAATAGTTTCGAGAATAAGATCGGGTGTAAATCCCACGTTTGGGGAGGATTTGTCCGATAAACTACTATAATGTCGTTTAAATAGCAGTTGTTGATTGTAATGCGAATTTTCATACCCTGTTAACTCGTCTTCAGACTGTACCAAATAGTCTGACCGAATACAAAGAGATCCAGGCAAACGCAGCAGTGACGGGTTGAATAGGTCGTGTATGCGAATAGCTTGTACAAGATTTGAAGTCTCACACTCTTCTTCATCTATAGTCATGTGAGGAGATACACATCTATAGAGCATATGGTTGAAAGGTAATCGTAGAAAGATTGAGTCGATATCCTCCTCTGCTGCCTCGCAGCACTCTCTGAAAAAGTTGCACGATGATAACTTGGCTGCTGACATCAATTTATCCTTACTCCTTCCCCCATTCAATGTCTTGCATGTTGATGTGCCTCCTTCACCATAGATAGAATCAATGTCAACCCCCAGCGCTTCAGGCACCGGCACCGAGACAGAAAGTAGGATCAAAGGTTCATCAGAATGCGCCTCGCACCATGCCAAATCTCGAATTTCCACCCTTTTACATGCACTGAGGCAGACATCCTGTCCATCGACTTGAAAGACTTTGTTTAGAGCATAAATGTTCCGCTGATTATAAGCCTCCAAAACATACTCGTGAGATTCCTCGGAGGTTTCCTGAATAATACCTTCTAAGATTCTGTCGAAGTACGGACATTTTAAGAATAAAGGAGATACAATCACATCGTGGCAACACTCCAACGCGATATACTCGGTGGTCAATGCAAAAAGTTCCAAATTCGTACAGGCCTCAATTGCACACTCTCTGGCAACAAAAAAAATGCGCATATTGTGACAGTTTTCTATTATCATACTGCCCGTGGAACCAACCAAGAAAACGGTGCAGTGACTACAGTTGCGAATCTCCACGTCGTCGACCATGTCGAGAACAAAAAAAACGGGACAATGTGGTGCGCGAGAAAGGCTGTTTGGCTCTGCAGAATTTGCTTTATGTACACTCCTCCAACCACGTTGTAGCATCCCACGGTATCCCAAGAGCTGAAATGGATCAGAACTTACCCGTGTCCTTTGGGGCATCATACCTAATGTAATCTCTTCGCTGTTTATTAACGCTGTTCTGGGTTTGTCGGTGTCCACGTCATTATCCAATTCATCACGGGGACTCAATGTTTGTGGCTTTGATTCACCATGCACATTCACTATATGTACATCCTTCCCGTGTAATTCATTAAAAAAGAAGTACACATCACTTTCATTATCGTCGCAGTGCTTAAATCGCTTTCCAAAAGCTGCCGAAGCATGAGAGTATGGGATGTCATCGGTGCGAGGACCTGCACTTATAAAATTAAAGCCACGGATGGACTTTCTTTCTCTGGGTGGTATATGTTCTGGAATCTGTGTTGTGCCTATAGGTGCAATACCCTCGCCGATGGAATGCGCATAAGCCGAACATTCCTGCACAAGTCCCACAAGTGAAAAGTCTTCAGAAAGCCCAGGGTAAACCAATGAGTAAGGTTCACAATCAACATTCTTGAGTGTGGCATCTAAATTGAAACCATGCATTACTTTTCCTCCCCCGTTAGACTCATCTCCGGAAATAAGGGCGGAGGCCGTGCAGTGCAGTGCCACATCGGTGACATGGCCCAACAGAAGATACATACAAGCCACTGCTATAGGTGTGCAGTTTGTCACCTGATGCATATAACAGATAAAGCAGGGAGCCAGATAGACTTCACACTGCTTCACGTTAACGAGCACCACAAACCTAAACGGCACAAGCAGTACGATTCGACAGCCTTCAAGATCCTGAAGCACCACAGTGTCAATGGTATTTGAAAAGTAATCCATTTGCCCTCGATTGAGCGTCAACAACGTGTTCTGTTTAGATTCGAAGAGTATAATTGAGAAGTGTGACAACACCTTGCAACCCGCCTGATCCTCCAGCTTCGCCTTTTCCTTTTGAAAGATCCGATCAGTCACATAGTTTTGTGAAATCCGTTGATGTAAACTTGGGTCCTGGACATAGGGATTGCTTAACTGAGACGATGGGATACACAGACGGCTCCAACTCGAAGAAAGGTAGAACTCTCCTCCTACAGACTCATGAGTTAAATTAACTTTGGCTTTACTATCATTCTCCGGGGAGATGAAAGATGAATGTAGTATTTGATAATTAAATGAATCATAATGATCGGTGCCGACGATGCTGCACGCACCATTCTCGGACAACAAAGGAAGGCTCCACGTCCAAGGCACAGACACAGTCCACTGGCCCGCCGATCTTCGCCCCAAGATTGGCCACAGGGCACCCATGCTGTCTACGGTAGTCCTAACAAGACACCCATTATCGCTACTCCGCGCCTCATTTCCAGGGCTCCAGAAGTGATCCCCACAAAAGTCCGCAAAGCTCTTTTTGAGTGCGGTCCAACGTGAGGAGAATACAGAATGTCGATGCATGCGTGCGATATAGGGTTTTGTATCGCACAACAATTTATTTTGTGTGATAGTTGTGTAAACGGGATATGTAACCCGGTGTAACATGTCCTGCATGACTTGCATTACCTCGTCCTTCCCAACCACACCGGCTTCTCCCCCTTGTTCATCAAGTGGATATTTTTCAAAAAAACTATGGTTTAAAAGGTCCTCCGCGTTGTGGTATTGCACTTCATTGTCCAGCACACCAAAGCTAGCGGCCATTGAATCAAAGATAAATTCAAAAAGATCTTTCAAAAAGTCTTCAGTGTAATCCGCCTCTTGACAACGCAGGGTAACATAAAAATTCTGCGTAAAGCACGAGCCAAAAATACGCCTACGCAATGCCTGTCGCACACTTTCTCTGTTATTGGCACCACCATTATTCACATCGGATGCACTGGCGCCTATCTCAACACGAGCCGCGAAAGCACGGAGCTCGGCCAGCGTTTCGACCACCTCTCGGTAAGTTCTCCCGTAGAATACAGGAATGCCCGTGATAACAAACAATGCGAGGGTGCCAATGGCGTACAGATCATCTGTGGGTTGGAGGGAATACGAAGGGGCGTTCTCCTCCAGCTCCAGAATGCACAACTCCAGCTCGTCGCCCAGTCCTGACAGAAAAGAATTGGTCGATGAACCAAGCTGTGGTGCGGTCGTCGCTGCACGTTTCAATCGCTGCGCTAAAAAAGAAGCCTTGGTGGGTGGAAGAATCGACAAATCATCGGGGTAGATTTTAGTATTCATTAACCCTGCGGGCTGGGTTAGCGTGCAGTGGCCATCATCTGTGGAAAAGGTGATGTTGCCACCATGGAGGGCTCCATGGGTGAAACCTGATTTGTGTAATCGCGACAGGCATGTTAACACTGTCCGCAGCAGCGTGATGAGCTCCCCTCGCAACAACAGAGCCTTCTGGAAGGCGATGATATCACTGAGGCTAATCCCACACGGCTCAACATCCAGCTCGGCAATGATGCGGTTTGAAGAGTCAACGTGAAGATTAATAATACCGCGACAGACCACGGGAGGGTTGAACTCTCTGTCGAAAACAGACTCCGAGCTTCGCTGCTCATCATCGCAACCATCACTCCCAATGTTTAGTAATCTCGATGGATCCAAAGCACCAGCTAATCTAACCTCTTGTAGTCTTCTTTGTGTTTTGAGAATTTTCCGCGCAAGCTGCAGAGCGCGTTGTTGGATAAATGAATGGGATAACCCTTGACAGTGTGCATCCATGAGTTCATACACACTCAATACCATGAGTACAGTCTCGGTCTGAGAGGTCGAGCCTGACGAAGAGTTTGTGTCCCCATCGCCTAAAGCCTCACGCATGAGGTGTCCCTGATAAACTAAAGAAAGAGGGGTCACGTCAAGAAGAACCATCGTGGCGAGATTCTCAGACCACACTAAAGAGTCCTCAATCTTAATCGAAATCTCATCCTCCAATGGGGTATCACGACGCCATGAAAACCCATCAGACGCTTCAAGCTCATGGCCCTCGTTTCTAGATGATGAATTTAAATGGGAGGCACTAAACGTCTTTAGACGGGTCGGCACGTCCTTTTCACACAAGGAATCTCCTGTGTAATTTACATCCTTGGATTTAGTTTTCGCCTCAGAAATGTCAACGTGGGACGAATCATTGGGTTGCATGTTAGAAAATCCCAATAACGGCATTTCCTCTTTTGGCATCGCGCGGTCATTTGCCATAACTTGTACTGAGATGTTGGAAGGGAATAACAGGCTTCGGGAGTTGTCATATGCATAGAGGGATGTGGATTTAGATACTACACATAGTTGAGCATCACCGTCTTGATCAACTGTGAATCCTGATGATGAAATTCCTTTCATGGGCTCAACGTGCAGAGGTTTTGAAATTCCCTCAACGTTGACCAAGGGTGGCTTTCCGAAGCCCATTGGAGGCAATGAGGAAGGTTGAGGCAACGGTCGCATCGAGAGGCTCAACGAGGAACGAACATCAGCTCTACCTCCTTGGAAGGGGGAAGCGGTGAAACTATTTAAGGTAAGGTCTAATGCTACCTCAGCACTATCCTCGCTAAAGGTGCTATTTACGCTTTCAGATGATTCTAACTGTTTGTACATTCCTTTGTGTTGGGGTATTGGGGGTTGTTGTGCGCGCACTACCTTGAATTCCTTCCAGGAATCCTGCAGAGCGTTATTGTGTATGCTCGCTTGACCTGTCTGCTCAGTAATTGGAAGAATTATCTTATCGGTATGGTCATCTAAAGCAGTAGAGCCAATCGGCGTTGCGCCTGCAGCTTCACCTTTTTTCCATGTCGCCAACCTTACCGTACCCAAAGCGATATGAGTGTCGCTCATGTCCGATTCCTTGCTCAGATCTCGATCTCGGCTCAAAAAATCGGCTGCGCTAGTTCCAATAGTAGGCGTAGTAAGAACACTGGATTCCGTACTACGCTTCTCCTCTTCGTTGAAAACTCCCAGTGACGGAGTAGGAATAGTGGTAAAACGGGCTGCGGCATCACCGATACCCCCTAAAACTTCGTTGCCGCCCTTTTCAAGACTCTGAAAACTATGGTGGTTGGAACACGTGGCTGTAAACACCTCTTTGATATTTGCATGCGACTTTTCTTCTTGCCCGCCTAAACAACTTGGTGAAGCAAAACACGGCGCAGTTTCGTTGCTCTGAATTAAATCATTTGGAGGAATTGAGTACTGTAGTGGTACGAAGGCTTTTTTATTTTTATTTCTTTTGAAAAGTCCATTGTTTGTGAGTTCTCCAGTTTGAAAGCTATCCTTTCTGGTGCAGCAATCTGAGTTTTGCAAGGTGGAATCTTCGATTGGTATCGCTGGAGTTTTTTCTGCTTGATGAGGTGGCGATGGAGGAAAAAGCCTATTTGTATGCAATTGGATATTGTTAAGCGACGAACCGTTTCGACTGTCAGTTCTACTAACACTTGAGTTTGCGCTAGGAGTAGAACCGATATGTGAAATGAATACTTTAGAGTCACACACTTCTAACGTTTCTGTCATGTCTTCCTCGCTTTCTGAAAAGAAAATTCTCATGTTTTGTTCCATCGTAGAAGAAGCTATCTCCTGGCCATCTGTACTTCGAATACCACCCGCAACATTAAACCCAGGATAGATAATCGTTGCGGATGTAAAAAGCTCCTGGGTGATGTTGCCCTGCAGATTAATCCCCTGGCTTATATCATTTCTTCTGCACTCACTACCGGTAACATCATCTCTATGCTCAATCCCTAATGATGCGCCGTCTCCCTGATGATCCCTCTTTTCCACCTCAGAGATCAATGAAGGGACGTCAACATCCTTCTCTATGTTATCTGAAGCTTCTTTGATATTACTCACATATTGGCTAAACACTGGCGGGCTCAAAACCCTGACGGTGGTGGGCAGCATTATTGAGGTTGTAACTGAATTCAAAGCTGTGATATTGAAGTTGAGTACTTATTTCAGAATTACTAGATTCAAATGAAATATAAATAAAAAATCAAGAAGGGTGTTTAATAGTACAAATATTCCAGATTGTTTTATCCAAAAACAAACGCTCACATACTGTATTGAGGTAGCTACCGGATTTCAAACTAAAAGAATTATATATACACATGCATTTAAGATATATTATTATTTATATATCGCTCTTAAAATACTAGTGACTTTTTTTTCGCAGATTATGAAATGTACTCAGAGCATTTTAACTGAAAGAAAATAGAAGCTGTTTACTGGTAAACTATAGGCTAAACTTGCAACTTGATAAAAGAAAGTATACTCTAAATTTGCAATGAACGCGTGAAAATAATAAAATTAGCACATTCATTTAGCGTTTTACTTCTTTTAAGCTTTCAAAGGAAAAAAATCAATTAAAAAAACGAAAGAAGATTTATCGATTATTTTTACCACTCGTTGACTTTATCTCCATTTGTATTTCTCAATCGTTTTTCCTCTAAATAAGAAATAATTACTCTTGGCGAATACCTTAACAGACTTTACAACAAAAATGCAGACTTATAAAATTTCGTGTTACAGTACATGCTGCTATTACATGTTTTCTCATGGTTAAATCAAAATATGGTAATCCGCTTCATAAGTATTGGTAACTTCATCATTCATGGAATTCCATATATAAACTTCTTAAGATGTTAATTATGTCCTTTATGGACAACAACATGAGAAAAAAATATTACGGTTTTTTCTGATTTTCAAGAATCCAAAGATGCCGAACAGCCTGGACAATCCTCAGTTTATTTAACCAAGGCTTAGCTTTTGACTACTCTCATGGAATTACAGATACGCTAAGCATTTGTCAAACAAAAAGGGTTTAAATGCGCTTCCCGTAAATACCAAATAAACATCTAGATAAACTTTAATAAGCAGAATTAATATACATATTATTAAAAGTTAGAAAAATGAAAAATACATAAGAAGCTGGCTATTCACTTTTCCGGAATGTGAACATTTACGCTTACTATCCTTGCAACGATTTGAATGATAATATGTATAGATTTGAATGCCCCAAACAAAATAATTCTTACATAGCTAAAATTGAATTAATAAAACAACTCCATCTTTACCACAATTTTTTTTTAAAAAATGAATACGCAGTGTCACACAAATAAACATGCATATTCATGCACAAGAGTGCAATTAACTTTCATAACCTTTTCAATGTGTGAGCATTCAAATAACTTTTGTTCACTCATAAAAATAAAATATTCGCATCGATTATAATTGTATCTGATTTTTATCACTAAATTATAAGATTTCGATAAAATAACTCTTTATCAGGGACTATTTAGCATTTTTCATTTATTAAAGTAAACATATATCTAAGCTTTAGTACGATTACAAAAGTAATAAGTTAATTTCAAGCACCACATGCGAAAAAAAAGGTATAGAAATATTCACTTAAGACTGATTATAGGCGGGTTGTGGCATCTGATTGAAACTCATGGTCCTCATGGAGTTAGCAAGAATACCTCCGCTAGATCCCTGGGGCCTTAGTTCACCTGTGAACGAACGCATTCTTGACATGTTTTGGCTTCTTTGATCCACCGAACAAATGCTCTTGGCGTACTTGCTCATCGCTTCTGCCTCTTTGATATCCTCAACCTCCGCATCGTCGTTCCACATCCAAATTCCGTGCTGCGTGACGTAGATGCTGACCACGAACATAATAGATCCAACCAAGAAACCGATGGTTAGCATAAGGCAAGCAATGCGCATGCTCGAACAATAGGCGCCATACCCGGAAGAAGATTTACTGGACCCCTTATCCGTTTGGTAGGTGGAAATAAACTTATCAATAACAAAGTTGCAATCCATGATGGGCAGCACGTAAGAAAGGGCCGTCGTTCGGTTAATCGAAAACTGAATCAGTTCCATGACGTCATTTGCCCAGTCCTTCAGCCTAAGATCGGGTTGATTATAGTTAATGCAGGATTTCTCACACATGGGAATGTTGCACACCTCTTGATATTTCCAGTTACTGTTATTCACGCAAATCATATCGGAAAATTTGGTCTTGGCATGTGTATCATAAAGCACACTGAGGGCGAATTCGATGTTCTTACACTCTTCTTTTGTACTTATGCCCTTACCACAGATGAATGGTTTCTGAAAGTCGTCGTCATCTGTAGTGCTGCACCGCTTCAAAATTTCATCGCAGGTGCTTTCGGAGATCCCTGCCGTTGAGTCGGAAATCGCATCACGAGCTTTAGCGAAGGAAAACTGCGTCTCGCACCAGGGTACAAAATACCACTGGAAGATACCGGGCTCACGTCGGTTCTGTAAAGTGACCTCCCCACAAAACGAGTACATGATGCACGTGATAATTGCAAGTAAAACTGCCATAACTGAGTATATAATGGCAAAAATGTAGTAAAGAATACCAAAGCTGAACGCGCCCACGGTATTGAAGCGACAGTAAGCAATAACAAAACAGCTGATCATGAGCAGAATCCCAACAAGGCCTATCACGATGGAGGCAGTACGAGCAACAGAAAAGTATACAAAGTAATTATCGTGGATATCATCCACCTTAGATTTAAGCGTGTTACTCATTGTGTCAAACCCGGAAAGATCAAAAGGTCCCGGTACAGGTGGATTTTTGGTGTAGTCAATGAGGAGCTCGTAAATTTTATTTTTGGTCTTAACAAAGTAAGAAATGGCATCCCCACGGATGTAATCAGTGCTCTGATTAATGCTGTTGGAAAGTAAGGCGACACCATATATGATTAAGATGGATGAAAAGACTGACCAAAAAAGGTTAAGGTTGATGAACATCCACAACCAGCAGCGTGATCTGGCCAAATTTGTCGTGCGTGTGAAACTGAAGCAGTAGTCCTCGCAGCAAAGGGTATTGAAAATGAAAGCAATGGGCACAGCAACAATAACAATAATAGTAAATATGATAAGGATGATAGCGACTGAGTAATATTCTGCATGACTGGAGACGCTAGTGAAATCTCTTACACATTTTGCGATATCATTAGATTCACTAGGTCCACTCCAACTCTTGTCACAACCAAAAGAATTCTCTGCACGAGCATCAGGTATTTGCAAAGCAAAAAATGCTAACATACAGATACTCAATAGAGTAAATGAAAATCGACTGGAATACATTGAAAGAAAGTAATAACCAATATAATATTTTTCAAAATAAGTTCTATTTTAATTACTTAAAATTATTATTTTCAGCACAAATTTCTCGTAAAAATGTAAATTAAATGACTTAGGAAAAAAAAACTATATATGTATATTTCATAAAGAAGTAGTGAGAAATAAGTGCAGGGAGAGAGATGATAAGTCATAATTAGAAACTCTTTATTCACCAAATCAAATCAGCTCATAAAGTCACACACGTGAAACCTCAAAAAGAATGCGAAAAAACGCGTTGTATGTAGTTGTAGTACAGGAAATCAAATCATACACAGATATCACCGTAAGTACTTATTTTACATAGTCAGTCCGATTGGATGTTGATATATTGCTTTTCTAGGCATCCTGTCCTATGAATGCATTGAGTTTAACATATCATTGTTACCTTCATAGGAACCAGGATAAAATTTGTTGGCATACTTCTCGATCATTGTGTTCTTCATCCAGGCCACGCATTCTATCACCAACGTTTACTGACGGCAGAATCTTATGAACTATCGCCAGCAACACGGCGGTAATGATCTTCTGGTCAACTTCCTCTCCCCTTGTTTCCTCACCTCCTTCTCTACTCCATGGAAAATATTTCAGCGCAGGGAAGTTATCAAGTTGAAGAAGATAAGCAAAAAAAGGGACTAGGTGTCGCAGGGAGCTGCTCCAAAAAGCAGCCGTCACGTGTTTCACATCCCATTCCTTTTGCTTGTCATCATGAAATATAGAAAACTGTGCTTTTCCACCACTCGCATCAACCGAACCAGAAGGATCAACATCCTTCACGGTACTCTTCAATGGCATCAGTGTGGAAGTGGACCATTTAAATGAATTTCCCTCCCCATTCGTCATGGTGAGATCTGGTAGAGACGCAGTTTGCACAAGACTACGCAGTGTTAACGAAATTTCAGCCTCCCCCTCATCGGTTTCTGTCTTTTCCAACCCCTCCTGCTCATTTTCCTCGCCAGGATCGCCATGCGCCAACTTGGTGCTGCCCTCGTTAGGTGTCTGCTTCTGTTCGACCTCTAAGGACGGCGCGACTCCGCCCAGAGGGCGCGTGAAAAGATCGATCAGATTCAAATCCCTCAATAGCTGTCGGCCTTGAAGCTCATTATCCTGTGGACTCATCGCGGCTGCAGCGATAATCTGCAGAAGCTGAAATGGCGTTGCGCAGCGCCATTCCGCATTCAACCCTTTTCGTGGCGGCGGCCGCAGTAGCTGCTGCAAGACGATGTGCACCACCGCCCCGACGTTCCACGTCTGGTTCAACGGCATCACCGCGTAACAGGGCTCAATGCGTCCGTAGAGCATCACGATGGACGGGGCCCCCGCCAGGGTCTCCAACGAGGCCTGGGACTCCTTGTCCGTAGGTCCGTTACCACCCTCATGCCAGGTTTCCGAGGACAGTAACAGCTGGGCACTCCCGCGTGGGATGTTCAAGCGTAGGAGAGGATCCCCTAGGGGTAACAGCGCGCGAATGAAGGCCTTGGGGGTCATCCCTACCAGAAGCTTCAACCAGGCCCCGGCAATACGCGGATGGACGTCCGGTAGGAGATGCCGCCCCACAATTGACAGGGCCAGTTGGCGGTGGGGTTTGGGGTCTTTGGTGAAGCTCCGTAACGTCTTCACCACCGTGTCCTGCAAGGCAAGTGGGAGATCGGCCGGGGTGAAGAACCCCGAGGGCAGTTTGGGACCGCCTTCCCTCTCGCTAAGTGACACCGGTGAAGAAGGGAACCCACCATGTGAAGTCGGTTGGTGCTCACTGGGGAAAACATACGCGACCTGTATGGAAAGTAGGGAAAAGAATTCAAGCGTCAAAACACGCAGCTCCCATGTGTGCAGAGTGGGGGCTAAGTAGGTTTCTACTAAAACGGCATCATGGGGTGTGGCGGAATGCTTGCTCACGCGCATGAAAGGTTGAACAAAAGTCCACAGAACAGATGACGGAAACGTGGGGGATCCTGATAAATTCTCCATAGAGAAAGCTTCCTCCACCCATGGGCGAACAGAAACCAGCAAAATCAAAAAAGCGACACCGACGCAGCGCTGATCCAGCGTCTCCCCGCTTAGTGCATTAAAAGCAAAGGATGAGATACATTCTTTTAACTGTACCAATTCAGCATCATAACCTCTTTCCGTAATCACCTCAAAGCCGGTTTGAAGTAGCCGACGAAGAATATGATAGACCGTGAGGCTGAACCGAAAGTAATTTTTCCGTACAGCAAATGGCCTGTTAATTGAAACGGTATCACACGCTGCGCGAGATGGTACGCCCACACCACAATCAAAAGCAGGTGTAATATGCTGCTCGATAAATCCAAGTATTCGCGTAACAAAATAAAACTTCTTTGCATTACGACTATCAAATCCGTTAACAATTGAACGCATAGTGGGGGAGCCCTGCCCAACCATCTCTGGCAGAGATGATTCCTCTGGCTTGTCGTGAACGCTGAGCGTCGCAACCAAAACCCGCGCGACGGCCTCCACAATCGCCGGGGTGCCTTCCTCCAGCAGCCCTCGTCGTGAGGCCGGAAGAAAGTAGGATGCCATGACGTCAATCGGGATGTCGTCCTCGGATGGGAAATAAACCGCCTCGTACTCCGCCGCCTCATCACCCTGGAGGTTCTCCCACCACCCCGTCGCGAGGGCCCGCCCCACACGACAAAGAAAAATCAAGCAATTGACCAGATGAAAGGCGCGGTTGTTCGCGCAGACCGCGCGATGCCGCATCGAATCATTGGTGAGATCGGAATCCATAAATCCCAGAAGGGCATCGGCAATCCGCTTCACCAAATTCCCCCGTGAAGGAAGGTCCTCTGGGACGGACGGGGTCGTCTTCGCCGTGGGGTCCGTCGGATTCACCTCCTCTCGGTTGAGGGATTCGGCCGATTGCGGCCCGTCGGATTTTTGACTTTGTGAAAGAGAAGGAGACTTTGGGTCTGGCGTGTTCAACAAGTTCGGAGTTTCCCCGGTTGAAACGTGCAGAAGGGAAACTTTGGCGGACTCCGTAGAGAACATAAAACGGAGGGCTTGAAGAAGGTAGGAATACTGGTCGGGTCGGGCGTGGATCGCGGCGGCGATCCCAGAAGCGTGAATCCCGAGCATCGTCCAACAATCCCGCAGGGTATCCGGCGGCAATCCCTGTCGATTCGCAACCAAGGCGGTAAAAAGATCGTACCGCGTGGACTCGTCCTGGGTGTCGACATTGATGTCCGACAGACTCGCAAGTAGGTCCAGGACCCCATGCGCCTTGAGGACATCCCGCAGTACATACGACATCCCCTCACGTAGCGACCAAAGATAGCCCTCGAACAGTGCGATGGACTCCTCCTCCGTGCATTTTGCTATCGTGGCGCCCCTTACGCCTCCTTCGGCGTGTTTTAAGGGCGCTGGGGAAAGAGGAGGTGAATGCGAAGGATCCACGGCGCCGATGCCGTTGGGGCGAGGTCGATCGGAAGGTTTTCTAGAGTTTAAAAAGAACCGCCCACGAATACGCTTGGCGAGTGAAATGCCGGTGGTGCTGGGCGCCCCCCGTCCCCCTTGGACGTTCGTCGCCAATCCTTGCCGCTTCCCCTGTGAAGCCATATCAGCAGTGCGAATTAGTCGATTAAACGCCTCGTGTTGTTTGATAATCTTGCGATTTCGTAGGTAGGAGGTGTGTTCATCCTCCACATATTTCACGCGATCTAAAGCTACTTGATTGCGATCGTCGTTAGCTATTCGCAGCAATGTCGAGGCCGTATGGAGGGTATAGCTTGGTTGGGAAACCCCCGCAGCACCGGCTGCCAATTCCACATTATCGGTAAACCCCAGAAGTTCCTTCAGACAGTGAGCCGGTTTCCCCGAGGCTTTGGAAAGCTTAAAATGATCCCCAGTCGCCCTGGGGGCATCGTCCGCGGACCTATCCCCCATGTCCGACATTACAACCTCGAGTAAAGGACGCGATGCAGGACCCTCCATTTGACGGAAAGGCGAGGCTTCTTGAGCCGCCCCCATCAACTTCGCATCCGGCTCTCCTTCTTCCTCAAAGGTCAAGACCTCCTCGGGGCCACCTCGGATACCCTTGGCCGCTCTATCTAACCCAAGTGACGCCGTGGGAAGGGTATGTTGGGTGAAAAACATGTATAAATTATCAAGAACCACCTGCGCGGAGTGCGGCTGCAGACGAAGAACAGCCTCCACCAGAGGCGCCGTCACCGTACCGCATTTCAATTCTTGAAGAATGCGCAAAATGAGGCTCCAATTATGGCGCCGACTCTCAGCAGAGCTCCCTGTGAGAATGCCGGCCATTGAAAAGGCGACGCGGGGGCTGCCACCGTCATTGTCCGCGCCCCGACCATGGCAATAACGTGAAAGAATCTCCGCGACCAAAACCCCGTTGGCTAAGTCGCGCTTGGGGTTGCGTATAGGACTAGAGAGGTCGAGAGACTGAACCCATTTGATCACCTCACGCTGCATCGATTTGCTCTAACCTTGTAGATACCCCACTCCCTAAAATCAGATTTGTCCCTAATGCCAACCAATATCACGTACACAGAAGAAAAGAAGAAGATCGGCATGGTAGGAAATACATTTCAATGGCACACGCTGGGTAAAAATAATTATTTGACAAAACAGCAACACAAAGATATAAAGGAAAATATTATTCCGCTCTGAACATAAAACGGTTTCATTATTCATAAGTAGTAAAAACTAGATAGATAAATATAGCCAGTTAAATTTTTCAACATGCATTAATCTATCAAGTATTATTGTTCTATTATATGTTACCCTATGAGAAAATAGACAGATACTTTAGAATTTGAAACAGACAAAGGTTCATTTTACACAAAGTATATCATTCAATGATATATATGTATATAACACCGAATATTCCACTCTGAATTAACCTCTCAACCCCTTTGGCATCCCAACCATACCCTAACAACTCTCCTTATCCCCCTCGCTTTGACCTTCCTCAGTGTGTGAGGTTCCGACTCGTTTGTTGTGTGCCTCTGTCTTAATCTCACTTGGATCGACGGCAGGGATTTCAATCCCCCAATTGCTCAGCTGACGTTGGTAAAAAGGCACCCCATCCTCCCAATCGGTGAAAATCTCATACCCCTTAGGGGTCACCACGAGGGTATGCTCAAACTGCGCGCTGCGTTTGCCATCCTTGGTGGTACTCGTCCAGCGATCCGGCCACATCACGTCCTGCCAGCTTCCCAGGTTCACCATCGGCTCTACGGTAAAAACATGTCCGGGTTTAATAATCCCAGGGCTTTTGCTATTCCGGTAATGGCAAACCGTCGGGGAGGTGTGAAAAAGCCCCCCGATCCCATGCCCAGTGTAGGTCCGCACCACACTACAGTGCGATTGATCCGCGCGGTCCTCGATCGCGTCGCCGATATGGCGATAAAGCTCTCCAGGCCGCACCACGTGAATCCCCGCCATCATACAGGCATAGGCGGTATGCACCAGACGCACCGAATCCGTATCGGGCCTCCCCACAAAGACGGTCTCGTTTAAATCTCCGTGAAAGCCCTCCAGGTATCCTGTGATGTCGAGATTAACTATATCCCCTTCCTCCAGCCCGCGGCTGTCGGGGATCCCATGGCAAATCACCTCATTCACACTTGTACACACGGACTTGGGAAAGTTGTAGTAGTTCAACGGGGAAGGATACATACCCCGCTCGATAGTGGCGTCGTGTACGACGCGGTCAATTTCATCCGTGGTGACGCCAGGTTTGATCACCTGGATGGCGAGATCCAAAACCTCCCGACTGAGGGCGCAGACCCGCTTTATTTTCAGGATATCCGAGTCCCGACGAAGATGCTCCTCCCTGTAATCGTCGTGGAGGTGTTTGAGAGGGTGGCGGATGACTTTGTTGTTGCCGCGATTCTTCTCTTCTGAGGTGGAGACGCCATCCGGGCGTAGGGCGTAGTCCGGTTTCGCAATGTGATCCGGGACGGCCCGTCGTGGGGTGATCCTGCACGGCCGCAGTGGGCCCGTGAAGTTGAAACTTTTTAACTCGGAGTCGGTCATAGTGGGAATGGTGGGGAGTGGATTCTGAGGGTGGGTATGCTTTACCTTGTGGGAGCCCCAGTTCTTTTTAAAACACTCCTGGGAGCAGAAAAAACTAGGTGGCAGGCCGAGGGTCTTGCAGCTCGGGCACTGGAGAGCGGCATTGCCCAGGCCACACCCTTCACAAGGCATTGATAGAAACTGTAACAGGAATACTAACGGTGTCGGTATCTAAATAAATAAGCATAAACACACCTGAATACATATATTTTGAAATTTTAGAATTTTAAAAGA